CCGATTCATCCGCGGTTCAGGGACTGGCTCGGTTTTGTAGTGGGGCGTCTGAGTTACCGCTTTCGTTGTCTCCCGTTCGGGTTGAACCTGGCACCTCGCGTGTTCACACGCCTTACACGGGTTGTGGTGGCTCGTTTGCGTCTCCTAGGTGTTCGGGTGTTGGCCTACCTCGACGACTGGCTGGTTTGGGCTCCCAGCCAGTCAGCTTGCTTGCTAGCCAGGGATTTGGTTCTTTCCCAGCTCGCCGGGTTCGGGTTCTTGGTGAACTGGAGGAAGTCCCATCTGGTTCCCTCTCAGGTTCGGACTTGGCTGGGTCTCGTGTGGGACTCTCGGACCGCCTCCTTGTCTCTCCCTCCGGAGTCTCTCCTGCGGCTGCGGTCCCGCCTTCGTCTGTTTCTGGAGGGCCCTCGGGTCACCCGGCGGTTGCTCGAGGGGCTGTGCGGGAGCCTGAACTTTGCGATGGTGGTCTACCCGCCGGGTCGGGTTTGGCTTCGACGGCTGTTCTGGTTCCTTCGGGGTTCCCCCTTCCGCCTCTCTCGCGATCGCAGAGTTCGACCCCCGGGGGCCTTGCGTCGGTTGCTGCGTCACCGGCTTCCTCTTCGGGTTTTTCGGGGTTCAGTGCCTTGGCGCCTACCCGAGCCCTCGCTCGATGTGTACACGGATGCGTCGTCTCTCGGCTGGGGTTTTGTGACCAGTGCTCACCAGGCCGGCCAGGGGCGTTGGGATCCGTCCTTCCGTCGAGCTCACAGTACGGTGCGGGAGTTCGCGGCAGTGTGGTTTGCTCTGGGGAGGATTCGGGTGGCCCGCGGATCGACGATTCGGCTCCATTCGGACTGCTCTCCGGTGGTTCATTGCCTGAACCGCGGGGGTTCGATGCGGTCCTTGTCTCTTTGGGGTTGGTCGCTTCGGGTGACTCGTCTGCTGAGTTCTCCGGGTTTGGCTCTCCTGGCGGTTCACGTACGGGGCGTGTCCAACGTCTTGGCCGACGCCCTGTCTCGCTTCGTTCCCCTCTCCACGGAGTGGACGGTCGACGACGAGTCCTTCCGTTGGCTTTGCCAGACGTTCGGGCGCCCCGAGGTGGACCTCTTCGCGTCGGCGTGGTCGCGGCGTCTTCCCGTTTATGCGGCGCCCTTCCCCGATTGCGAGGCCGTCGGGGTCGATGCCTTTCGGCTCGACTGGTCGAGGTGGGGGTTCCTGTACCTCTTTCCCCCAGTTCGGCTGTTGCTCCAGGTCCTGACTCGCTTAGAGACTTACCGGGGGAGAGTTGTCCTTCTGGCCCCTTGGTGGCCGGCCCAGCCTTGGTTTCAGGCGCTGGTTGCTCGGTGTCCGAACCCGAGGGTTTTCCCGCGGCTCCGCCTCTTTCAGCAGATCGGGCCGGTACGTCACGTAGCTGGTTCGATCTTCTCCTCGAGTCTTCGCGTATGGTTTTTTTGACTCGAGTCTATCATCATCTCTATGGTGATCAGGTGGCCTCCTTGTTGGTGTCCCACCTGAGGGCTTCTTCTCGGCGGCAGTATGAAGTTTCCTGGCGGTCCTTCCGTTTCTTTTTGCGTCTTCGTCGTGTTAGCTCCTTGTCTGTTCGGGTGGTCTTGTCCTTCCTCTCGTGGTTGTTTCAGGACCGTCATCTTATGCCTAACACTGTCGCTTCGTATCGTGCGGCGCTGGCGGAGCCGCTTCAGCTTGCTTTCGGTATCGATGTTACGTCTGCGCCGTTTCGCAAGCTGTCTCGTGCATTGTTTCACCTCCGGCCTGCTCATGCGTCGCCTGAGCCGTCCTGGTCTTTGGACAGAGTGCTCGCTTTCCTTTCATCTCCTCGTTTCGTTGTGGCCCCTTCGGTCCAGGATTGTTTTTCCAAGGCACTTTTCTTGTTGGCTTTGGCCTCTGGGGGTCGGGTAGGGGAGCTTCATGCTCTCCTCCGGCGCAGGGGTTTCTGCTCTTTTGGTCGTGGTGATAGTTTTGTTCGTTTGCAGCCGTCTCCTTCTTTTCTGGCGAAGAATGAGACTGCTGCGTTCCGGAGGGGTCCATGGGTGGTTGATGCTTGGTTTGTCAGGCCGGGGGTGCATCATGTTTTGTGTCCGGTTGCGGCGCTTCGCCGTTATTTGCGCGCCACAGCTTCTGTGTCCGGGGACGCGCTGTGGGTTGATCCGGTTTCCCTTCTTCCCTGTTCGCGGGTTCGGGTCTCTCAGGTCGTCCGCAGGGTTATTAGGTCTAGCCAGCCTGCGGTCTATCCCCGTGCCCATGACGTTCGTAAGTTCGCGGCTCTTGCTGCCGTCTTTGGGAATATGTCTTGGTCTGATATTCGGGCGCGGGGATTTTGGCGGTCGAACAGGGTCCTGGCTGCTCGTTACCTTGTGAATGTCCCTGGCCCTCGTCGGGCCTGTGTTGCTTTGGGTCGGCGGTTGCAGCCAGTTGTCTCGGCTTCGAGTTGAGGGGTGAGCGACGACCGCCTCCCGGGTAAGTCCCTCTTTTTCTGTCTGTGGGTAGTTAGCTCCGGGGAGCCGACGGGGCTCCCCCCAGAAAACCAGCGTTGAATGTAATGAAACGCCATTTTCTGGGTGAGTCCCGGAGGCTCCCCGGCATCCCTCCCTCCCTCCGGTCGGCGGTTTTTCGCGTTTTTGACATCCAGCCTCAAGAACTGAGGTGTGGGTAGCCGGCGCGGGGGGTCTGGGGCTCCCCCTTCCCCCTCCCGGGGAGGGGGGAGCTGCGCAGACAGCGGCGCGGCAGTGTGTGACGTCACACTAATTTGCTTGTTTTCGGTTGGGGAATTCTATCCACTAGTTCGGTATTAGGTAGCAATTTTAACCAGAATAGGGGTTTGTTTTGGGGCGCTTACCTTTCTGGGTGCCTGTTCCGGTCGATGGCAGACATAGAATGCTTCCAACTACACGGGGGCTTCTATAGGCCATTGCTCCCCTTGCCTCTCTGAGGGGGCCCGGTTCTGGCCGTGGTCCCCGGTAGGCCTAAGAACTCCATACACATGACTGATGCCAAAGTCTGACATTAGCATATCAGCCTGGGATAGCTCCGGGGAGCCTCCGGGACTCGCCCAGAAAATGGCGTTTCAATACATTCACGCTGGTTTTTTTTTTTATAGATTGGTACTATGTTTTCCTTTTTCCATATTTCTGCTAAGATTTCTGTGCACAAGGATGTCTGGAATATTAATTGGAATGGCATGCTCAGCTCAGTTGTTCATTCTAGCAGCACCAAAGATGAAACTCCATCAGGTCCAACTGCTTTATTTCTTCTTTCGTCATTACTCTCTTTATAGTACGTGTATCCTTATTGTTGGCTCTGTACTTGTTTTCACTCAACAAAGGATTTTTTGCACCACAATCTAATTTTATTCCGGCTGTGGTATTTATTTTTGTCTGTCCAGAGAACAAATTTATATTAGAGAGAAGTGGTGGACAGTTGTCTGAAAGGTACTAGTTCTCACCTGTACTGAATGTTCTTAACACTTTCGCGCTTTAGATTAGAGATAACTCGTCACCGTTTTTTCTTACGATTCCGCATAACAGCCTACTTTTCTCATCCATCGAAAAAATATTTCTATAAATTCCATTTTTTAACCGAAATGGATGGGGATACTCTCAGATTGGCCTTAGCCTTATGACTGAGCCTTATTGGCGTGGAACAGCGAGGAATGGCCAACAACAACAAGCATACCACATGTTCCCGACATAGATGCCAGCGCAGCTCCTCCTGCTGACGCGGCAGTTTCAACACTCGGCCCATCTGGTGCGAGGCGTCCTCTGTTCACCTCAACACCTCAAGCCCACTCATCAACCACAAATTCTGAAATGGACATTGAGGACATAGAACCACTTGATGTTTCTGATTTCATAGAAGATTCTACTACAAGTTTGGTGGTTCCTGTAGAAGACAATATTCCTCCAGTGCATCCAAGAAATAGAAGAATTATAGATTCAGAACAACGTCTCAACTACAAGTCTCAACTACAAGTTGATATTATATCACAAACTTCTATGAGTAAAAAAAAAAAAAACACAAAGTATGTTTGGGGGTGTGGCGGGCGTGTGGCAGTGGGTTCCCTTTAGCCGTTGATATATCCAACACGTGGGAAATATTTGTATGTGTTATGTATATGTCTGTGTAGGGAATTTTACTGCGATCACTGTCATACAAATTATAAAATGTTTCAACAAGTATAAACATGACAAACATCAAACGAACGAAAACAATGCATTCGTTTCTGCCGCGAACGCATACTGAGCGACGTGGTTCTATATTTGGCGCTTCTCTTACACATGCTTTGTACAAATGTTATACATTTCATCTTATAGAAAATTTTATTGCGAACACATTGGTATAAAAAAGAAATACGTACATAGAAAAGTAGGGTCAGGAAACGTATAAATGTATAAACTTTCCAAGCATGATTTCCCCCCTGTGTTTTCGCCAGTGCGCTCGCGGCTAACTACTCTCGACTTCACACACTCTTGCGGGTGGGCAATTACCTATATTAAACATTCATATGCATATGTCCGTGTAGAGAATTTTATTGCGATTCCAATGATACCAAAATTAGCGATGTAGGACAACTGTAGGCTTCGCAACCATTAAGAGAGTGGAAACATTTTGTTGCTGTTTGGCGCTCTCGGCGAGTGATCTGCATAGTTTTTTATTTGGTGTTGATACTCCTTATGCTTGGGCGGCATTTTATAGGTATGCTCTTATAGACAATTTCATTGCGAACACAGTGATACCAAATTTAAATACGTGCGCCTTCAATTATTGTCAGGACAGTCAAAAAGAGTGTACACTTTTTCGGTCTTACCGCGTAGGCGCGCGAAGTGCCGAAAGCATCTGGGGTATTGATTTTTTTTGAGCGCCGAGAGCGCGAAAGTGTTAATAATGATAAGATTTCCAAAACAGTTTTATTAAATTTTAAGATTTTTCAAGTCAAAGGCTTTGTCATTTTTATATAGTTTTCATTTGACTTTGAGCATACAATTCTTTATTTGAATTATTTTCAGGTTAAAGGTGCCTTACGACTCTCTTGAAAAAGTGCCTCCTTCTCCTCCTCGGTCTCCATGGCATAGTTCACAGCAACACCTACAGGCAGGGACAGGCTCAGGAGGAAGCTCTATAGGGGCAAACATTCCCAGCTACAAGAAACTCTCAGGGTTTTATCAAAAGGCACCACTTCCTGCTGAGCCTGAATACTGTAAGCCAAATACATTTTCTACTTGTTAGTTTTTATTCAAAAACTTTTATTGTTATATAACTTATTGTCATGTTTACTCAAACCCCACCCTTCTTCTATGACACATAACCCCAGCACTGTGCCAGGTGACATATTAAGGGGTGTTGTGGTGCGCCAGCAGACATGTGATGGTGTTAGTATATCATCAGATTCGAATCTCCCGTGCATACAAGGGGGCTCACATATGTTTCCTCAGACCTGTAACCATTCCCCATCTTCAGAAAACATCCTGAGTCTCTCACTTATGTCTATAAATTCACTTGTCTATAAATTCATAAACAACAAATTGCAGGTAAAGGATAATATTCAGAGGTTGAAAATGGGAAATAGATTCACGGAAAACGAAAAGGAAATGTGTGAAACATTAAACGAAAAGTTCCAAAGTGTGTTTGTACAAAATGAAATTTTCAGGGAACCAGATACAATAAGAATTCCAGAGAACTACATAGAGCACATAGAGGTGTCTAGAGACGAAGTGGAAAAAATGTTCAAGGAGCTAAATAAGAACAAAGCAGTTGGTCCAGATGGAGTTTCACCATGGGTTCTGAGAGAATGTGCACCTGAACTCAGCATTCCTCTTCAACTGATTTTTCAGGCATCCCTGTTTACAGGAGTTGTAGCTGATATGTGGAAAAAGGCTAACATAGCTCCAATCTACAAAAGTGGAAGCAGGGAAGACCCCCTTAATTATAGACCGATATCATTGACAAGTGTAATAGTCAAAATATTGGAAAAAATAATTAAATCTAAATGGGTAGAACACCTGGAGAGAAATGATATAATATCAGACAGACAGTATGGTTTTCGATCTGGAAGATCCTGTGTATCGAATTTACTCAGTTTCTATGATCGAGCAACAGAGATATTACAGGAAAGAGATGGTTGGGTTGACTGTATCTATCTGGACCTAAAAAAGGCTTTCGACAGAGTTCCACATAAGAGGTTGTTCTGGAAATTGGAAAATATTTTAGGAGTGACAGGTACGCTTCTAACATGGATGAAAAATTTTCTGACTGATAGAAAAATGAGGGCTGTGATCAGAGGCAATGTATCGGACTGGAGAAATGTCACAAGTGGAGTACCACAGGGTTCAGTTCTTGCACCAGTGATGTTTATTGTCTACCTAAATGATCTACCAGTTGGTATACAGAATTATATGAAAATTATCATTTTTTTGTTTTTGTTTTTTTACCATGTGGGGTTTGTTTTGTTATGCCTACCTTTCTGGGTGCCTAACCCCGGTCGATGGTAGATAAGGAAAACCCCAACCACAAGGGGGTTTTCCAGGGCCATTGTTCCCTGAAACCTCTCTGAAGGGGCCAGGTTCTGGCGCTGGTCCCTGGTAGGTTTGAACTCCTTAGCTAATGTCCAAGTCTTATATAACATACATTAGCCCGATAAGTTCCAGGGAGCCGTAGGGGCTCCCCACAGAAAAAAAAGTTGAAAAAGTTTGAAAAAAATGGACAAATGAAATAAAGGTCCATTCAGTGTTTGTTGGGTAGGCTGCTCCATTATGACAATCTGTGTTTGTTTCAAATGTGTTCCATTTGTTTTGTATTTTTCATTTATGTCTCAATAATGGAGCAGCCTACCTAACAAGCATTGAATGAACATTTATGGCATTTGTCCATTTTTCAAATTGTTACATCTGTTTCTTTTATTTTTATTTTTTTTTTATTTAAGAAACATGGAGCAGTCTACCTGCTGAACACCGAACGACCCTTGTTGACATTTGTTCTGTTTTTCAAAATTCTTATTTTCTCTTGAGAACCCCTTTGGCTCCCCCGGAGCTATAGTGGGCTGATGATGTTTACTGTGGCAATAGTCAATCTAAGGAGTTCTAGGCCTACCGGGGAGCACAGCCAGAACCTGGCCCCCTCAAGAGAGGCACGAGGAGCAATGGCCTAAAGACACCCCTGTATAATTAGAAACAGTCTTTGTCTGCCATCTACCAGGTTAGGCACCCAGAAAGGTAGGAATTCCAAAACAAACTACTGCTGATCAAATAAATTGCAGACCAAAAGCTGAACTAACAACAGAAATTCCCAATCAAAACCAAGGAAACCAGTATGATGTGACCACAAATGCTGCACATTCGTCTGCGCACCCCCACCCCCCCTCCCCGGGAGGGGGATGGGGTCCCAGACCTCCACGCCGGCAACTCTACTTAGTTCAAGAGGCTGTTGTGTTGGTGACGATCGATTGCTCTGACTCCACTCTTTGCACAGTGCTGCAGTGCGGTGTTGTTGCTCTGTTTTGGTGGTGTGAGAGCCAGACGTAACACAAGAGTACTGGGGCTGCATGCACCTAGGGCCGCCTTATCTAGGTGCCCTGTAAGTACTGCCTTTGCGACTTCATGGTCATCTTCCATGAGCCGTTCAGGAGCAGCTACTTCCGTGTGGTTCTGTCGCTGCACGGTGATTGCCCACTCTTGGGGGTTCAGCTGGCGTGGTTCTTACTCCTGTTTTCCCTTGGGTTAGGAGGTATTTTCGTCGTTGGCTGGGGGTGTGAGGTACTGTGCAACTGTCTGATACACACATAGCGACCGGTTCTGTTCTCCTGGAGACTTTGTGCTTTTGCGGGGGTTTTTCTTTAGTTTTTGTTTTGTATTGCCTGGCGGAGGTATGCCAGGTGTGGCGGTAGGACTACTGGTAGGTTTTTGGTAGCCCTCCACTAGGTTGCCGTGCTTACACATGTCACAGGGGTTCAGCTTTTAGATTGTTTGCTTGGTAGCTCTGGGATAATCGGTAACCCCCCACCCCCTGCTTCTGGCCCTGAAATGTCTGAGGGTTTCTGAGTCGGAGCAGGGGTTACTTGATCTCGAGACTCGGGCAGCTTCAGGGGATGCCCCTTCCAGGAGTGCGGCGGAGGCATTCGAGTCTTGTCTCCCGGCGGAAGCTTCTGGGTCTGACGAGTGGGCACCCTTTCTTCCGGCTTCTATGGCTGCTCTGTCCTTGTCTTGTGGGGTCAGTGCTTAGGGAGAGGACTCGGCCCCGGGTCCTGCTGTGAAGGATCTCGAGGCTGGGGAGGTGCTGACTTGGGGGTCTTGGGCCGCACTGGACCCCGCCTGGGTTTTCTTCCCTCTGAGCGGGGCTTGTTGTTACAAGGTGTGGGATTTTCTTTTCCTCCCTCTGCGTACGAGTTGGATTTGGTGTTGGCCCCTCCCCGGGTTCAGTTCCGTGTTTCCCCGGGTGCTTCGGTTCCGTCTTTCCAGAGGTTTTCAGCTTATCGCATCTAACCTGGTGTGGTGCGGGCAGCCCTTGCAGCGTACCTCCTGCGTGACCTGGATTATGCCTCGGAAATGGATCCGTCCGAATTCAAGTTTGGGACTTCGTTCTCTTTCTGGCTCCGTTACAAGGTTCCGGAGTCTTCCTGGCTAGCTGACTGCCCCTTGTTAGTTTTGAATTCCTGGCATTCCTTCTGTTGTTCCCACACGCCGGAGTGGCGGGAAGCTTCCACGGTGATTCAGGTTTTCCTAGGGGGCGATCTTGAGTTCCTGAATGAGTACCTGAATGGGAATGAGGGACAAACAACATGAGTTTGTTTGCCCCTGCCCTTTCCCGGAATGTGGGCGTCGTTCAGCTTCATGTGCAGGTTCCCTCCCTTTCAGCGGCACTCGTGGCGAAGGACCTGCACGCCCGGGGCCTTTTGGCTTCGGCCTTGCGGTTCTTTTCCCTCCTGTGGCTGCAGTATCGCGTTCGTCGGTTTCTGGTGGGCCCTCGGGTCACCCGGCGGTTGCTCGAGGGGCTGTGCAGGAGCCTAAACTTTGCGATGGTAGTCTACCCGCCGGGTCGGGTTTGGCCACATCAGCTGTTCTGGTTTCTTCGGGGTCACCCGTTCTGCCTCTCTCGTGGTCGCTGGGTTCGACCCCTGGGGGCCTTGCGTCGGCTGCTGCGTTGCCGGCTTCCTCTTAGGGTTTTTTAGGGTTGTGTACACGGATGCATCGTCTCTCGGCTGGGGCTTTGTGACCATTGCTTACCAGGCCGGCCTGGGGCATTGGGGTCCGTCGAGCTCACAGCACGGTGTGGGAGTTCGCGGCGGTGTGGTTTCCTCTTCGGAGGATTCGGGTCGCCCACGGATCAAGGATTCGGCTCCATTCGGACTGCTGTCTGGTGGTTCATTGCCTGAACTGCGGGGGTTTGATGCGGTCATTGTCTCTTTCGGGTTGGTCGCTTCGAGTGACTCATCTGCTGAGTTCTCGGGGTTTGGTTCTCCTGGCGGTTCACGTGCAGGGAGTGTCCAATGTCTCGGCTGATGGCCTGTCTTGCTTCGTTCCCCTCTCCACGGAGTGGACGGTCGACGACGCTTCCTTCCGTTGACTTTGCCAGACGTTCGGGCGCCTCGAGGTGGACTTCTTCGCATCGGCGTGGTCGAGGCGCCTTCCCGTGTATGAGTCGCCCTTCCCCAATCGCGAGGCCGTCGGGGTCGATGCCTTTCGGCTGGACTGGTTGAGGTGGGGGTTCTTGTAACTCTTTCCCCTGTTTCGGCTGTTGCTCCAGGTCCTGACTCACTTGGAGACTTACCAGGGAAGAGTTGTCATTCTGACCCCTTGGTGGCTGGCCCAGCCTTGGTTTCAGGCGCTGCTTGCTCGGTGTCCGAACCCGAGGGTTTTCCAGCGGCTCTGCCTCTTTCAGCAGATCGGGCCAGTGCGCCACGTGGCTGGTTCGATCTTCTCCTCGAGTCTTCGCGTATGGGTTTTTTTTTGCTTGAGTCTATCATCATCTTTATGGTGATCAGGTGGCCTCCTGGTTGGTGGCCAGCCCTTAGCCACCTGGTGGCTAAGGACTTCTTCTCGGCCGCAGTATGAAGTTTCCTGGCGGTCCTTCTGTTTCTTTTTGCGTCTTCGTTGTGTTAGTTCGTTGTCTGGTAGGGTGGTCTTGTCCTTTCTCTCTTGGTTGTTTCAGGACTGTCATCTTATGCCAAACACTGTCGCCTCGTATCGTGCGGTGCTGGCAGTAGCTGCTTCAGCTTGCCTTCCTTATCGATGTTACGTCTGCGCAGTTTTGCAAGCTGTCTCGTGCTTTGTTTCACCTCCGGCCTGCTCATGCGCCGCCTGAGCCATCCTGGTCTTTGGACAGAGTGCTCGCTTACCTTTCATCTCCTCATTTCGTTGTGGCCCCTTCGGTCCTGGATTGTTTCTCCAAGGCTCTTTTCTTGTTGATATTAGCCTCTGGGGGTCGGGTCGGGGAGCTTCATGCTCTCCTCCGGCACGGGGGTTTCTGCTCTTTCGGTCGTGGCGATTGTTTTGTTCGCTTGCAGCCATCTCCTTCTTTTCCGGCTGTGAAGAATAAGACTGCTGTGTTCCGGAGGGGTCCGTGGGTGGTTGATGCTTGGTTGGTACGTCCAAAGGTGCATCATGCTTTGTGTCCGGTTGCGACGCTTCGCCGTTATTTGCACGCCACGACTTCTGTATCCAGGGACGCGCTTTGGGTTGATCCGGTTTCTCTTCTTCCCTGTTCGCGGGTTCGGGTCTCCCAGGTTGTTCACAGGGTTATCAAATCCAGCCAGTCTGCGGTCTATCCTCAGTGCCCATGACGTCTGTAAGTTTGCGGCTCTTGCTGCTGTCTTTGGGAATATGTCTTGGTATGATATTCGGGCACGAGGTTTTTGGTGGTCGAAGAGGGTCCTGGCTGCTCGTTACCCCATGAATGTCTCTGGGGTCCGTCAGGCCTGTGTTGCTTTGGGTCGGTGGTTGCAGCCCGTTGTCTCCACTTCGAGTTGAGGAGTAGGCGACGACCGCCTCCCTGGTAAGTCCCTCTTTTTCCGTCTGTGGGTAGTTAGCTCCGGGAAGCCGATGGGGCTCCCCTCAGAAAACCAGCGTTGAATGTAATGAAACGCCATTTTCTTGGTGAGTCCTGGAGGCTCCCCGGCATCCCTCCCTCCGGTCGGCGTTTTTTCGTGTTTTGACATGCAGCCTCAGAACTGAGGTGTGGGTAGCCAGCATGAAGGGTCTGGGGTTCCCTGTTCCCCCTCCCGGGGAGGGGGAAGCTGCGCAGACAGCGGCTCGACGACGTGTGATGTCGTACTAGTTTGCTTGTTTTCTGTTGGGGAGTTCTATCCACTAGTTTGGCTTTTGGTAGCAATTTTAACCAGAATAGGGGTTTAGGGGCGCTTACCTTTATGGGTGCCTGATCCGGTCGATTGCAGACATAGAATGCTTTCAGCCACATGGGGGTTTCTATAGGCCATTGCTCCCCTTGCCTCTCTGAGGGGGCCCGGTTCTGGCCGTGGTCCCCGGTCGGCCTAAGAACTCCATACACATGACTGATGCCAAAGTCTGACATTAGCATATCAGCCTGGGATGGCTCCGGTGACCCTCCGGGACTCGCCCAAAAAATGGCATTTCATTATATTCAATGCTTTTTTTTTTCTGTGGAAAAGAATATATTGACTCACTTAGGATCTCTTTACTTGAAATGGTAATTTGGGCTTTGGATATTGTAATAAAAAAAATTTGCCATGTTAGAAAAGTAAATTTGGGTATATATTTTAAAAATATTTGGAGGATGCAGACGATGAGTCACAATATCATGGCTGAAAATATGATGACCTTCAGAAGATGAAGAAACATCATATCTTCATCTTCTGGTGTGTGGTTTGGTCATCATATTTATAGGATCTTTAAAAATAAGTAAAAATTTTAAGTGGTATATGAGGATTATTAAAGTAACTGGTTTAACAGAATTCTGAACTAAGCAAAACTGTAATGGAGAATGTGGATAAAAGTGAATGCTCTTGGTAATCTAGTAAGAGATCATTAACTTACACATGCAAAGCACAGTCAGTAAGTCTTAAAATGTTCAGTGAAATATTCTCCATGGAATTAATTTATTGTTTGCATTTTTCAACAGCTACGGCAAGAAGTAAGAAGAAGGGTGGAAAGCAGATGCGTGAGGTATTAACATTAGTCCCTGTACCTGCTCCTTTACGATACTGTGTAAGTTTTCATGATTGGTCAGTCATAAGAGCCAACTAACAAATGAAGATGCTGGTATTTATAGAATACAACCAAATATAAAATACAGTGGGGCCTCGATTTACGATGGTAATCTGTTCTCTCAGACGTATCGTAAGTCGAAGCGGTTTTTCTCATAAGAAATAATGGGAATTTAATTAATCCATTCCCCACCCTCCAAAATATTATCTTACAAATACATTTTATACTGAATACAATTTTTTTATCTAACTACAATACAGTACATATGTTTATCTTATCTTTAACCACTTAACTGCGCCAACTGAGTATTCTCGGTCGGCGGGAAACTGCTCCAACTGAGAAAACTCTCTTTGATTTTTCGGTACCAATTCTAAACGTGTACGAGGTTGGTTGTGTACGTAATGGACTCTTAGGACGTCCAGTGAGAGGCAGCCATCTTGGAAAAAGTTCCTCAGAATGCCCTAGGGCTGCTGGTTGGGTTAGTACTGAATGAGCAACCATGGGTGGCGCACGTGCCTCTGGCTCCCAAACACCTGTCCGACGCGGTGTTGAAAGATAACGTTCTGTCGTTGAAATTCAACCCTTATTGTCTGAAGAACATAAGGGTCGTAATATTGGTGAAGCTAGGCGCAATTAGGACCTGACACAAAGGTCGGATGCAAGTGATACAACACCTATGAGGACAATACAGCGAGCGTATCCAGTTGTAGCTCTGAGCGTCACCCTTGCAATCCTATGCTATCTCCGATTTATTTAGATGATACGTAGATGAATCGTTTTCTGCATTCAGTGATGATGCATCTGATAAAAGTAGCATAGATGAACAATGTTAGCGGCTTCCATGGTGGTGTTTTCCATAGATATTTTCAAGAATACCTGAATCTCTTCCTAACTGACGGACACTCTTGAGGCAAGCTGAATCTCTTCCTGTGTGGGACCATACAAAGCGATCTTTTCAAGACTACCTTACAAATTGATCTTTTCCTATAATCTTTTCAATACTACCTTATGCTTTACAAGTTTGGCTACATACAACCTACAAGTACTAAAGGCAAGGGTGTACGTGAGTGCGTTATTTGCAAGCACACAGAATGAAGTAACAGGAAGCGAAAATTTATTTGTACCTGGTGCAATGAGAGCGAAGTCGTGCTGTGTACCATGGACTACTTTGTTGATTATTACTCACCTCTGAAGTACTGAGTGTGTAATACAGTGTGTTACTGTGTAAATAGTGTGTGAAACTGTACATATTGTAATTTTAGTGAATTTTTATTAGGTAATATTGCAACAATAAACATTTATTGTGGACATATTACTGACACATGTATCACAGTTCCATGGGACATTATGGACGTTCTACTGTATACATATTGTAAAGGACACATATATGCATCATATACGATAAAAACAAAAACAAATAAAACCGCATTGGAAATACATAAAACAAATAATTGAAAATATATTTGTGGCAACACCTGGTGCTTGAATGGCCTGTTAATCGCCCTGTCTGGGCGATTAACACACGGGCAACCCTGATGACGTTACAGCGCACCTTGTCCACGTCCCCACAGCCAAAGTAAGTGGAATTTGGTTTTTATTTTTACATAGACATGTTCAGGGAAGGGAATTTATCATTTTACAAAGAAAAAATAATTTTTTGGAAACACTTTATTTCATGCGTACCGGGGGAATTTCACAATAAACTCAGCTCAGCACGGTGGTTAAGGAGGACTCTTGATGGTGTATAGAAGATGTTGATGAAGGGGAAGGAGGAGAGGTGTTACTGTTTGCAAGGGGAGTCTCCTTCCATTATAACATCAGGCAGTGATTTTTTCTGTGGGTTACACACTCCTATGTTTTGCCTGCATACCACTAGGACCTGGTTGTGGTTCACTGCTTGTTTTTCTCACTAAAAATTTGTCTAGAGACACTTGTGTTTCCCTTCATTTTAACATATGTCTGTAGTGATGCATCACAGTGTCATTGAAAAGGTTAAGGCAACGGCCTACTACAGCTTGCTCTGGGCGAGTCGTTTCAACAAAAGTTTGCATTTCTTCCCATAGTCTACACCACTTTTTAATTGTTGAGGAAGGGTCAAGTCATGCACAAGTCAAGCCTGGCCTTAGGCCGGGCTTGGGGAGTAGAAGAACTCCCAGAAACCTATCAAGCAGGTAGCTTGATTTGGGGGAGTCATTTAAGCAAAAGTTTGCAGTTCTTCCCATGCTGTACACATCTTCTAAATTTTTGAGGAATGGACATTCTGTACTGTCTCCTTCTCCCCTGAAGAAATTTCCTCAGCTACCTCTTGTTGCTGCTCCTTTTGAAGGGCTTGGAGTTCTTCGGTGGTCAGTTTTTCGCTGTATTCCTCCAGCAACTCCTCAATATCAGCACAATCCAACTCCAAGCCCAATTGCCAGCCCAGAGAAACAAATTCCTCAACAAGAGGCACTTCAGGTTCAGGCTCAAACCCCTCAAATTCTCGTTCCGCAACACATTCAGGCCACAATTTTCTCCACCTAGAAATCATGGTTCTTACAGTCATTTCTTGCCAGGCTTTGTCTACAAGTTTTAAAGCACAACAAATGTTAAAATGGTTTTTCCAGAACTCTTTGAGGGCGAGTTGTGTGGCTTCTATCACTTCGCCACATCTCCGAAAAAGTACTCTTTCATAAAGTTTCTTAAAATTGGCAATGATTTTCTAATCCATAGGCTGAAGTAGAGGAGTGGTGTTGGAAGGAAGGAACTTTACTGTAACAAAACTAAATTCCTCCATCAATGAATCCTCCAAGTCTGGAGGATGGGCAGGAGTAGCATCTGGGGGGAGCCCCTTCGGCTCCCCGGAGCTTACTAGGCTAATATGCTAATGTCAGACTTTGGCATCAGTCATGTGTATGGAGTTCTAAGGGTCTACCGAGGACTACGAGCCAGAACCTGGGCCCCTCAGAAGAGGCAAGGGGAGCAATGGCCTATAGAAACCCCCTTGTGGTTGGAAGCATTCTATGTCTGCCATCGACCGGATTAGGCACCCAGAAAGGTAAGCGTCCCAAAACAAACCCCTATTCTGGTGAAAATTGCTACCACAAGCCGAACAAGTGGATAGAACTCCCCTAAAATAAATGAGCAAACAATCATGACATCACACATCGCCACGCTGCTGTCTGCGCAGCTCCCCCCTCCCCAGGAGGGGTAAGGAGGAGCCCCAGACCCATCGCGCCGGCTATCCACCCAAGTTCTAAGGCTGATGCTAACGGCTGAGGTCATGTGCTCCGGCTCCGGTGATTGTTTCAGCACTGTACCTAGAGTGTGGTGTCTGTCTTCTAGGTGGTGCGTGAGCCGGGAGTGTTTCTTCAGTACTCGGGCTGCATGCGCCTAGGGTTTCCTTCCCTAGGTGCCCTGTAAGTACTGCCCTTGGGGCTTGGGGCCACCTTCCGCAAGTTCCTTGGGTTCTGCTCCTGCTAGGCCGTTTACTACTTGGTTTTCGGCTGCCCCTTGTGTGCTCGGGGTGTTCTGTCTCCTTTGTTCACCTTGGGGTAGGGGGCAGTTTTGCACTGGCGGGGCACAGGGTACTGCGCAACTAGTTTTCACCTATTATAGCGGCCGGCTCTGTTCCGCCTGGGTACGCTGTCCTCTTGCGAGGATTTTTTTTTTTTTTTTGCTTTCTGCCTGGTGGGGGGTCTGCCGTGGTTCTTGCCCCCTGTGTACTGAGTACTCTAACTTCTTCCGGTGGTTCCCCCCCTGCTAGGTCCCCGTGAGTGTACATGTGCCAGGGGTTCAGTTCTTAGATAGTGGTTTGGTAGTTTTGGGTGCCGGTTAGCAGTACCCTGCCTGGGTTTACTTGGGCGCGAGTCCTCTTCAAGTAAACGCTCAGGACCCTGGGAATCCTCACGAGAACGAGTGGGTCCGATGGATGTGACAACGGGTGCCCCCCCCCTCGCTTTGTGCGAGTTCGAGGGTTGCTCTGTCCCCTTGTCTCAGAGTGACTCACTGTTTTGCCTCCGTCTGCTGCCTGTGGGGTCGGGGGCACCTTCGACCCAGAGCCCTGCGAGTTTTGTTGTTGCTGCAGGTAATGATAAAGTATATGCATACACTATTAAATGCAGTGAATGCAAAGCATATGAGTTACAAAGAGAGTTTGCCAGAAGTTGGAAAGTGGTAAGGTTCTGTGAGTGTACTATTGTAGAGTTTAAATTTAAGGGTAACATAATGAGGTTAAGAATTAGAGGCATCAGTCTACTAAATGTAGTGGACAAAGTGTATGGCAGAATAGTGATTGAAAGAGTTCAGGATTCAATTGAAAAATTGGCTATTGAAGAATAGCCTGTTTTGTTGTGGACGAGATTGTGCGGATCAAATACTTGCATTGAGACATTGGTGAAGGCATGTATATTGTCAATGTATTTTTAAAAAAGCATTACATAAATATTATATTCCAAAATTTTATACAGTAGTTGGAAGTAAAAACAAAGTTATTGGGAAAGTGCAAAAATATTTTCCTTTTTTTGGCCTTCACGTGTAAACTGACATGTACTGTTGTCTAATTAATTATTTAAAGACATGACAAGATTGAGATGGTAGGCTTAACTGCTTTAGGTTAGAATGTATAGTAATTACCACCACTGTTACAGGGCCCTTCAAACACTACAGCAATGAGAGGACGAGCTGCTGGCAGCCCGACGCCTCATGGCCACTCGCCCCGCTCAAGAACACCCCAGGGGTCTTACCCACAACAAAGTTTTTCGGCAAAGTATGTTAAAAATAATGATATTGGGTGTAAATAAGCACTTTTTCATTGTTTCCATGAATGGTATTAATAATGTTCTTTTTTTATTAACCCTTGTATGGCGCCGGGCTATTTAGCATTTGTGACCCACAGGCGCAGACCAAAAAAAAAAAAAAAATTCTTCTAGACCTGATAATTTGTGTTCACTGATCATGGTTAAAATAATACAAAAATCGTAAGTGGCATATATTACCCGCTATTGAGTGGGAAATTCTGGCAAAAAAACAGGCGCTGACTCAGCGTGCGTCCCAGACGGTCTGTTGCTCGCCAGCTGTCAGGCAGGAGTGGCCACAAAGAGATAATTACCTAATTATTTCAATGTCTGATTTTTTGTAATTTTTTTGGTGTAATATTATTCAATAGTGTGTAGTGTGATATATTTATATAATAAAATGAGTGAATCATTGCTGTGCTCAAAAATATGGTGTGCATATTGTTGATTCAATTATTATGTTCATCAAACAGTGAACAAATACTTTGTCGGTTATTACACTATATACACAGGTTATATATAAGTATCTGCATGTTTTGTTCACCATAACGAACCACTAAGTTGCTATTATGAGTCAAAAAGTAGCGAGGAGTGACTGCCACACACCAGCCAGCCACTCGCTGCCACTCACTCCCTCAACACCTCACTCACCCACATTCTCCTCTCACCATACTGTTTTTGCTTTTATTTACTATATACAGACGTTATATATAAGTACATTCATGTTCACCATAACGAACCACTAAGTTGGCATGCTGAATGGCAGTGGCAGCCTGCCACTGGCTGCTACTTCCTCCCTCCCTCAAGTCACCTGACTCGCCCACATTCTCCTCCCACAATACTGTTTTTGCTTTTATTCACTATATACAGATGTTATATATAAGTATCTACATTCATGTTCACCATAACGAACCACTAAGTTGGTATGCTGAGTGGCAGTGGCTGCCAGTGGCAGGTGGCTGTCACTCCCTCCCTACCTCACCTCACCTCACCTGACTTGCCATCATTCTCCTCCCACCATACTGTTTTTGTTTTTATATACAGATGTTATATATAAGTATTTACATGTTTTGTTTACCATGACTGTACATTTAAGCTTGTATGGTGAATAAAGGCACAAAGACGTAGCTACTCACATAGTCAGCTAGTGGTGGCCGCCCTCAAGGCCAGACGTACTAATATTTCTCCTCCAACAATACTGTTTGTGGTGTAATTACTCTATATCCACATATTATATATAAGTATCTACCTGTTTTATTCACCATACTTGTACAAGTAAACTGGTATGGTGCCCAAAGACCATAGTGGTCACCAGTAAACAACATGATAAGTCGTGCAGACGACGCCCTCCCTCACCAAAATGGCGGCTCCCAACCTATTCCTATTGCTGTTTATACCCTCTATACACACGTTATATATAAGTATCTACATTTGTGTTCACCATAACGAACCACTAAGCTGGTATGGTGAGTGCAGTCAATAAAAGGTGGCCACACACAGTCAGAAGACGACGCCACCACCCTCCCTCCCACAGCATTACTCCTCCCACCTTGGAGTACAGTGCTAAATCCTGCTATTATCAGAACCCTGGTCAATTTTATCATAGTCAGGGGGCTTCTGTAATAATATCATTGCTAAATAATAGCAAGAATATGTATATTATGGCATTTTTAGGCGATGCTGTGGTCACAAGCTGAACAGCAGTGCTGTGAGCTCGTGCTGCGTGCATCAGGCTTGGCTGCTCACTCGATACTGAGGCCCCTCACACCCAGGAATTTGGCCCACGATTTTCAAAATAAATGGAGTCTGTTTACAAGAGCCCTGATGAAGGTGTGGTGAACCCTTGCGTATCCACTGGCCGTTTAAATCTTGTGGGTACTCCAAAGCATCATATGATGCAGAGCGCAATTTACTGCAAGTCACTCAAAGCATCATATGATGTCTTGCGCAACTAAAGGGTTAATAACCTTTTCTTCTTAATTCTTTAGCATCTCCTCAATAATCACTAACCTGCCAATAAAACAACCTTTCATTGCATCTTGTTGTGAGAAACCTGCAAAATATTCCTCTGTTGAGGTACTGTCCTCCCCTGTGGTGGTGGCCATTTTTGTTGTTGTTCTGCTGTTTTGAAAGTTCAACTTTTCTACCCAAGATTTTTAATTTACTAACACTTATTTCTTATCTCTTAGTTTATTTTCAAATTCCCTACACCTTCATGTATTCTGGGACACCACTTGCAACCCTCACCCTACTGTAAACACTTAGATAATTTGAATTATCCAGAAGCCTGCAGCAGTGTGACTCTTCAGTGTGATGATGCTCTAGTGTCTAGTAATTACCTAAGTGTAGTTACAGGATGAGAGCTACGCTCGTGGTATCCCGTCTTCCCAGCACTCTTGTGTCATATAACGCTTTGAAACTACTGACGGTCTTGGCCTCCACCACCTTCTCACCTAACTTGTTCCAACCGTCTACCACTCTGTTTGCGAAAGTGAATTTTCTTATATTTCTTCGGCATCTGTGTTTAGCTAGTTTAAATCTATGACTTCTTGTTCTTAAAGTTCCAGGTCTCGGGAAATCTTCCCTATATATTATATCAATTCCTGTTACTATTTTGTATGCAGTGGTCATATCACCACCTTTTCTTCTGTCTTCTAGTTTTGGCATATTTAATGCCTCTACCCTCTCCTCGTAGCTCTTGCCCTTCAGTTCTGGGAGCCACTTAGTAGCATGTCTTTGCACCTTTTCCAGTTTGTTGATGTGCTTCTTAAGATATGGGCACCACACAACAGCTGCATATTCTAGCTTTGGCCTAACAAAAGTCATGAACAATTTCTTTAGTATATCGCCATCCATGTATTTAAAACCAATTCTGAAGTTAGAAAGCGCAGCATAGGCTCCTTGCACAATATTCTTTATGTGGTCCTCAGGTGATAGTTTTCTATCTAGAACCACCCCTAGATCTCTTTCTTTATCAGAATTCTTTAAAGATTTCCCACATAATATATAGGTTGTGTGGGGTCTATGTTCTCCTATTCCCCATTCCATAACATGGCATTTATTAACATTAAATTCCATTTGCCAAGTGGTGCTCCATATACTTATTTTGTCCAGGTCTTCTTGAAGGGCATGACAATCATCTAAATTTCTTATCCTTCCTATTATCTTGGCATCATCAGCAAACATGTTCATATAATTCTGTATACCAACTGGTAGATCATTTTTGTAGACAATAAACATCACTGGTGCAAGAACTGAATCCTGTGGTACTCCACTTGTGACATTTCTCCAGTCCGATACATTGCCTCTGATCACTGCCCTCATTTTTTCTATCAGTCAGAAAATTTTTCATCCATGTTAGAAGCTTACCTGTCACCCCTCCAATATTTTCCAGTTTCCAGAACAACCTCTTATGTGGAACTCTGTCGAAAGCCTTTTTTAGGTCCAGATAGATGCAGTCAACCCAACCATCTCTTTCCTGTAATATCTCTGTGGCTCGATCATAGAAACTGAGTAAATTCGATACACAGGATCTTCCAGATCGAAAACCATACTGTCTGTCTGATATTATATCATTTCTCTCCAAGTGTTCTACCCATTTAGTTTTGATTAGTTTTTCCAATACTTTCGCTATTACACTTGTCAATGATACAGGTCTATGATTGATGGGGTCTTCCCTGCTGCCACTTTTGTAGATTGGAACTATGTTAGCTTGTTTCCACACGTCTGCTACGATTCCTGTACACAGTGATGCCTGAAAGATCAGGTGAAGTGGAATGCTGAGCTCAGATGCACATTCTCTCAGAACCCATGGTGAAACGCCATCTGGGCCAGCTGCTTTGTTCGTATTGTGTTCCTTTAGCATATTTTCCACTTCATCTGTAGACACCTCTATCCACTCTGTTATTCTCTGGAATTCTTATTGTGTCTGGTGGTCTGAAGATTTCATTTTGTACAAACGCACTGTGGAACTTTTCATTTAATGTTTCACACATTTCCTTTTCATTTTCTGTGAATCTGTTTCCCATTTTCAACCTCTGGATATTATCCTTTACCTGCAATTTGTTGTTTATGAATTTGTAGAATAGGCCCGGTTCTGTTTTACATTTATCTGCTATCCCTTTTTCAAAATTTTTTCCTGCCTCTCTCCTTACTGCCGTATAGTTGTTTCTCGCATCTTTGTATCGCTGGTATGTTTGGGGGTTTGGTCTCTTCCTATACTGATTCCATTTTTGTGTCTTTTGGTCTCTGGTCCTCTCACAATTTCTGTTGAACCAATCCTGTTTTCTGGCCCTGCATCTCTGTTTTGGTATGAATGTTTGTGTGCCTTCCTCATATATTTTTAAAAATTTGGCATACATTTCATTTACTTCCCTGCCTAGCAACAAGTCTGTCCAATTACATTCATTAAAAAATTTTGAAGTTCCCCATAGTGACCTCTCCTTAAATCGAGTTTATCAACTGTTTCAATGTCCCCATTTTCTTCTAGATGATATCTTAAAGCATAATCAATGTCTAACAGGACGTGATCACTCTTTCCCAAGGGAGGGAGGTACTGGATATCAAATAACTCTTCTTCTTTCCTGGTGAATACTACATCCAGTACTGATGGTACATCTCCTTCCCTCATTCTTGTGGCCTGCTTTATGTGTTGATACAAGAATGTCTCCAGAATGAGGTTCACAAATCTGCATGTCCAAAAGTCCTCTGTTCTTGCTTCATAGGCCTCCCAGTCTATTGCTTTAAAGTTGAAGTCCCTCAGTACCAACAGTCGTGATTTATCTTTATCTGCTTGTACAATAATCTCTCTCATGACCATTATGAGGCCCTCTCGTTTGTCATCCAGTTCTTCCTTTGTCCATGTGTTGCTTGCTGGTGGGCTGTAGGCATTTAAAATTATCAGCTTATCATCCTTATTCCAGATCTGCAATGCCATTATGTCAATATCTCGAGGGTTTTCAAATATTAACTCTCTTACCTTCAGGTGTTTTTTTAACCAGTACAGCCACTCCTCCTCCCTTCCTAGTTTTCCTGTCACGTCTCCAAACTGAATAACCTCTTGGGAATATGACTTCATTTATTATATTTCCTTCAAGTTTCGTCTCTGATAATGCATTAATATCTGGGACCTTAAGCTGGATTATATCTTGCAATTCCAAAGGTTTTGACCTTATTCCATATCTATGTTGGTATATGCAGTTTTCAGGAACATGTTCCCTTTTCCTTTGCTCTTTACTTCCCCTTCCACTACTGATCTTGTTGCTTTGTTTTTATATACCATTTCACAAGCTTTCCAGTCCCTGTCACTTTGTAGAAAAAAGAATTTCTGTCTTCTTCATTTCTATCCCCATTTAGACGTTTTGCCTCAATTAGGTTCATTTTCAGCTTTTCTCTGTCTTCCTTGGAGAGGTCTTGTCTTATTGACCAAAATTTGCCAACCTCATCACACTGCAGTTTCCTGGCATTTCTAAGCACTTCCATCATGTTTTTCACTCCATTAAACGTCACCCTTAAGGGGCGGTTCTCGTCTTTCTCATATTTTCCTATTCTTCTAAAATCACTGACATTTTCCTTTGAGCCTTCTCCTAAACCTACTATTTTTTCTATGATTTGCATCTCTTCTGCCGCTTGGTCCACCCTAGATGAAATTTCCTTCTCTAAACATCCAAAAATTATTATGGACTTAGTTCTATCTGCAGTGTTTTGTACTAGTTTACTGTTGGTAACCAGTACTTTCCTAATTACTTGTCAAATTTCTGCTTCTTGTTGGTCATTTCTGGTTTTGACTTCTGAACACACTTCTTTGATAGTCTCTTTCTCTTTTACAACTTGAGCATATGTCGCTTTTATTTCTTCTTTATACTTTTCTAGTTCTTTATTCACCTCCTCTATGTGAGTTGTCAGTGAAGTTTCCATTTGGAGATCCTTGCCTAACTCTATATTAGCTTTCAGGCTACCTTGGAGTTGTTCACCATATGAGTCTATTTTCTTGTTTATGTCTTCAAAGTCACCACACTTCACTTTCCACGACTCATTTTCTTTTACTAGTTCCTTGATTTGCTCCTCCTGATTTGTTACCGCGTCTGTTAATGCAGTAATAATCTTACCTTGCTAAAGCATACTCCCTTTTAGAGTGCAAAGCTCACTCCTAAGAGCTCCATAGTCCTCTTCCAATTTAAGCACTTTTTCTTCATACTTCTTTTTCATATCCTCAATTATCTCTAACCTGCCAAGAACACCTCCTTTTCTTATATCTTGTGGTGAGAATCCTTTGAAACAATCATCTGTTGGTGGGTCTACATTCCCTAGTCTAGTGGTCTAGTGGTAGGTCTAGTGTGTGTGTGTGTTATATAAATAAATTATTGTGTTGTTTTTCAGAAATTATTGCCATAGAGGGATGGGATTAAGTAATAACAGCAACTATTCCAGCAGCCCTGCAAGAGATGGGTTCCCATCGTTGACTGTAAGAATTGTCTTACTCTTCAATTATGTTCTAACTCTTTGATAACATTAAAAAAGTCAGATTATTGAATTTGCCATGAAATATCTTGAAGTAGTCTGTAGTTTTTTGTGTTTTTACCTATTTATAATTATAGGAATTGTGCTTCATTTGTATTATCTGGGCTCCAGTAATTCTGTCATAAATTGTTTGATTTGAAATTGTAAAAAAGCTTGATTTGGCATGCACTGCCTACTCAAAGTATTTGTTCCAAACAGTTATTGCTGGTTGTGAGACTATACTTCCCTGAGTTTTGTCTTGGATTTATACGCTAGCCGTCACCACTAAGTCTCTCCCATAATTTGATTTGCAAATACATCATTAAGCAGATGAACAGTACCACTATCTTTGGCCAAATTTTAACATTTATATATATATTTCATAGCATTTTCCATTTTTCTCTCCAAATCTGTTTTTTATTTAGGTATTTTATGTATTTCAGTAAAATCTTAAATTAATTTACTGTAGACTGTATATTTGTGCATCTGTAAAGTTACTTATATTACAGTTTGCCCCAATATCAAGGTCATTAATATATATTATGAGTAATAAAGACCCAAGACCTTGTGGCACATCATTAGGGGCATACCCACTCTGATTTTACCGCAGTTGTAAGCCATTAGTAAGCTGATTTTTACTGACATTTGTAAGCCGTACGAACTCGCAAAACCCATCCTTACGTTCTTATTTACACTATAGGTATGTTACTTTAAACTAGGAATGTAGAACCAATGAGCTTTTATACACACTTCAAACACAATAATGACCACATGGGACTGGTACCGTACTTTTGCATTGGCGGGACTCAAGAAACAACCAAAGTGCATGCAGTACATTTATTTAATCACAGGAAAAGGGATAATACACTCAATGAAAAATCTCTCACCAAATTAACAAATACAGTTTTCACTTGGATATAAATGAAGGTCAATAACTTCACACAATGAAGCGAATACCTCACGAGCACACACCACACAACCTGGTTGTGTGGAGTCTCAACCCCCTCTCTCATGTGGAGTGTGGGCAACACTCCTCTCACGAAAATGCACCGGATAACTTTTACACACAGAATCATACTCATTTACCCTTACATACTCTCAAACACAAATGAAACATAAAAATTAACTCAAATATAACAAACGGGTATTTTAGCTAAGAGAAACATTACATTAACAACCACAAAAGCTAAACTTTATATACAAGTCATTACATAATTACCACTGTGCATTTTCTCTTTCTCTCCTAACCAAGCAGCTCTAATCTAATTTAGCATATCTCCTTCAATGTTATGGCCTTTTTCTAATCAACCTCACATGCAGAATCATATTGAAAACATAAAATCAAGATAAACACAAACATAATTGTTCCTATTGCCAACTGGATGAAATTCAATTATGTTTTTTCGAAGCTATCCAGGCTAATATGAATGTATTAGACCCTGGCATCAGTCAAGCAAATGGAGTTCTTAGGCCTACTAGGGACCATGAGCGAGAACCTGGCCCGCTCAGAGAGGCATGAGGAGCAATGTCCTATAGAAACCGCAGTGTGGTTGGAAGCATTCTTTGTCTGCAATCGACCGAGTCAGGCATCCAGAAAGGTAGGCCCCAAACTAAAAACGAGCAAACAAGCATGATTTCACAGTCGTCGCCGTGCTGCTGTCTGTGCAGCTCCTTCCTGGGAGGGGAAAGGGGGAGCTCCAGATTTCCTCGCGACAACTATACACCCTCAGTTCTGTGGCTGATGTGAGACCTGGCAGTCTTTCGACTCTGGCTCCAGACATTTTCAAATGCTGTTCTTTGTGGTGTGGTCCTGTCCTTTGGTTGTATGTAATCCAGGTGTAAATTCACAAGTACTCGGATTGCATAAAATAAAAAAATAAAAATAAATAAATGTTTATTTAGGCAAGGTATGGAAAAAATGGAAATATAAAAACGGAAACCACGTACAAAACTCGGGCAAATCATGACATAGAACGAAAAGGCAATGTAAAGGATCTGGGTGTACTCATGTCGGAAGACCTTACCTTTAAAGAACACAATAAAGTAACCGTCACAACTGTAAGAAAAATGACAGGTTGGATAACAAGAACTTTTCACACTAGAGATGCTATACTGATGATGACACTTTTCAAAACGCTTGTGCTCTCTAGAGTGGAGTACTGCTGCACAATGACAGCCCTTTTCAAAGCTGGGGAAATTGCCGACCTGGAGAGCGTGCAGAGATCCTATACTGCTCGAATTCACTCGGTAAAACACCTAAACTATTGGGACCGACTAAAGAGCCTAAATCTGTACTCCCTTGAGCGCAGGCGGAAGAGATATATAATAATTTACACGTGGAAAATGTTAGAGGGGCTGGTCCCAAACCTCACACAGAAATAACATCACATGAGACCAGAAGACATGGCAGGATGTGCAGAATACCCTCATTGAAAAGCGGAGGTGCAACAGGTACTCTGAGAGAGAACTCTATCAACATCAGAGGCCCGAGACTGTTCAACACGCTTCCGCTACACATAAGGGGCATAACTGGCCGACCCCTCACAGTGTTCAAGAGAGAACTGGATAAGCACCTCCAAAGGATACCTGATCAACCAGGCTGTGACTCATACGTCAGGCTGCGAGCAGCCGCGTCCAACAGCATGGTTGATCAATCCAGCAACCAGGAGGCCTGGTCGACGACCGGGCCTCGGGGACGCAAAGCCCCGGAAGCACCTCAAGGTAACCTCAAGGTAAGGTACATACATACAAGAGATTTTACAAAGATTGCTGGATTTATAGATAGAGCTAGTACATACAATCCTAAAGCCACTATTACGCAAAGCGTTTCTGGCAGGAAAAACATTAATGACTAAAGCTTAATACTAATTGAGTATAAAGAATAAAATGTGTTGAGAACAAATAAAAATAGAGATAAAAAAGGGGGGAACATGGCAGAAAAAGCAGCACAAATACAACAACCCGTTCTCGCAAATTTAATAAGTCAATATTGACTTATTAAATATGTGCATATGTGACATACTTAACATAATAGATACCCTTAAAAAGATTCATAGAAAACACCGACCTTACCTAACCTTGTTAGTATCTTAAGATAAGCATCTTATTGCTTAGTAATTACAATTATTACCTAACCTATAATAGGTATAGGTTAAGTAATAATTGTAATTACGAAGCAATAAGATGCTTATCTTAAGATACTAACAAGGTTAGGTAAGGTCGGTGTTTTCTATGAATCTTTTTAAGGGTATCTATAATGTTTAGTATGTCACATATGCACATATATAATAAGTCAATATTGACTTATTAAATTTGCGAGAACGGGTTGAATACAATTAGGTCGGCAAACAGCGTTGTTTAAAAAAACAGACATGGGTTGACAATAGAGGGGTAAGGTAGGTTACAGGGAATATATTAGGTAGTTCTTCGTTTTTATCTTAAACTGGTTGAGAGAGGTACAGTCTTTAACATGGTTGGGAAGGTCATTCCACATTCTGGGTCCCTTGATTTGTAGAGCATTTCTAGTTTGATTAAGTCGTACTCTTGGAATATCAAAACTGTTTGTTTCTGGTGTGGTGCTCATGGGTTCTGTTACAACCATCATTGAAGCTTTTGAGGTCAGGATTGGCATTACAGTTCAGCGTTTTATATATGTATAATACACATGAGAGAATGTGCAGTGACTTGCACCTAGGGTTCCCTTCCCTAGGTGCCCTGTAAGTACTGCCCTTGTGGCTTGGGTTGTTTTCCACAAGTTGCTTGGGGTCTACCTCTGTGTGGTCTTTTACTGCTCGGTGATTGCCTGCCCATGGAGTCAGCTGGGGTGTTTCTTACACCACTATTTGTCTCTAGGTAGGAGTAGGTGGTTTCGTCACTGGTATGACAAAACCTTCATTCTCAAGGTACTGTGCAGCTAGTTTTCAGCATATTATACTGGCGGGCTCTGTTCTGCCTGGGTCGTTGTCCTCATGTGGGGTTTTTCTTTTACTTTTAGTTTCCTGTCTGATGGGGGGTCTGCCCCTTGGTGTTGGTACCCATCTATATATTTGGTGGTCCTCCACTAGGTCCTCGTGAGGGTACATGTCTCGGGAGTTAGGCTATTAGTAGTTTGCTTGGTAGTGTGGGGATGCCAGTTAGCAGTACCTTGCCTGGGCTTCCCTTAGCATAGCTTCTAAGGGCCCTGGAAACCCCCATTGGGGCTCAGTGGTCCGATGGAAGCGTCCCTTGGGTCCCATCTTACTTCATGCGAGTTTGAGGGTTGCTCTATTCCCTTGCCTCGGGGTGATAATCACCTGTTGTGCCTCCGTCATGCTGCCCGTTGGGTTAGCGACACCTTCGACCCGAAGTCCTGCGAGTGGTGTTCCTTGCTTGTACTCCAGTTCACCCAATCCACTGATCTTGATATTCGGGTGCAGATAACTTCGGCGTTGCATGCGCATTTTAGGTTGCAGCGCGCTAGGTTGATTACTCACCCGGATGCCAAGAGACTGCCCCATTTTGGTTATTGGGACTTGGACTTCGTGTTAGTCACCTCGACTAATGCTTTGTCCGTGCCCCTTTGTCCTTCTGCTGCTGCTGTTCATCCTGTTCCCTCCTGCCCCTGCACCCAGCCTCAAAGTGTCTGAGGGTTTCAAAGTCGGGGCAGGGTTTAGTTGATGGTGAGACTCGGGAGGTTTCGGGGGATGCACCTTCTGGATTGACGATGGAGGTATTCGGATTTGTTCCTCCAGCCGGTGCTCCTGGGTTTGACCAGTGGGCCCCATTTGTTCCAGCTTTTCCGGTGGACTCTGCCTTTTCTTTTGAGGCGGAGGGTTTGGAGGACAGCTTGGCCCCATGTCCTGGTGTGGAGGTTCCCGGTGCGGGGGAGGGGATGACTTAGGGGGCATGGCCCCTATTTTACCTTTGTCATGTTGCCTGTTGGGTCCCTGACACCTTGACCCGGAGTCTTGCGAGAGATATTCTCTG